ACATCTCTGCCCAATGTTACATAACCGGAGAACTATATAGGTGAACTATTCCTTCATGTGTGTGTGTGTATGTGTGTGTGCCTTCCTCGACTTTTTTGGCCACTACATGTTAACCACACTGGCAGCACAGGTACTAGCTTGAACCCAGACGTCCCTCATATTTCCTGGAATGCAGTGTGGATCTGTGTCCTCGGGATGGGTGCGGGTTTTGGGTTCAGAGTCCTAACAATAGTTCCGATAAAGTTATACGACTGGTTTGTCGAATTCAGTATTGTTAAGATCCGAGATAGTATTCAAATATCAATATAGATATTGCTGTACAGCAGACAATAACGTGAAAAGGGCAAGAAACGTTTACTTTGTGTAGTGGAAATGTGGAAACAAGAGGAAAATGGAAGATAATAAATAAACGGCAAAATCTACTATCAGTGCGTAAGAAGTTGACGGGGGAAATAAACGTGATTAAAAGGTATTTGTTCGGGCGCAGTATGGGATAAAGTCGTTGGTAGGCCTGGCTTCGAGGACCGATAACGTCGCTATCTGTAATGAAGGGGAAAGTAAAAAAGATTTTAAAACTCCCACCTTTTTTCCATCGCCGTGTGATGGAGTGTTATTGAATATGCCTTTGTGCCCTCCCTCAACCGTTGACTCCCGCCTGTAGTTATCATGGAAAACCGTCCCTTGTTCTTCTCATTGTCAACATTCCACCCCCGCAGTTGCCTACAGCGTTGCTCTACACCGGCATTCGAACGGACACGAGAGATTGTTCCCTCCAACTTCGGAGGGGATATTTGTACATGCGAAAAACCTCCTCTGCCGACGTTATTCGGCCCAGCGGCTCATTTTCTTCGTCAGGCAAGTTAGTTCTCGGGTTGTGTCTGTGTGGCTTTTTGAGTTCTGCGTGGCCGTCTTGCCCAGAGCTTCTTGTACGTATTGACACAAGACTATAAGCGACAGGAAGGTCAAGGTGCCCGTTGGTTGGCTATCATTTAGCCCTGAAGAAGTTCTGAAGGTATAGTCGTTCAGTTCTTTTGTCTGCTGGAGTGGTGCAGTGTGTTTCGACTCTTCTGAATAGAGTACCAAAAAAGCTGCATTAGTGAGGCAGAGACGGGTTGCTGCTAAAGTGTCGTTTTTGCTTCGTGTCGCTGGCTCTTCTAAAAACTGTGGTGTGCAATTGGACAATTGCAAACCGGCGCACAAACATGTGGAGGAAGGGGAATTGGTTTTTTGTTTAGCATTATACCGTGAACGGAATCTTAGAGTCTATGTCGTTTTTTGATAATGAAGGTGTCGTCGATCCGACGAGCCTAAAGCTTTGGTTGATACTTTGTGAACACCAGGTGTTCCATGCGTTGCAAGACTGCTTCGGCAACCAGTAACCTTGAATATAAATCACACTTCTAAAAGGCTGTTATTGAGGAACCGAGTGATATTGAACAGACCTTCCTCAGGCATGATCAGAAAGGGCGTGCTAAGAGGCAAATAATTGAATGTGCGGTAGGATTAAGTTTTGGAGGTTATGGAGATTCTGCAACATGCTCCTTCTAGCGATAGCAAACGTGTCTTCAACGCAATGATGTAAAATAATCGAAATTTAGAAATTCTTGGACGACTTGTTCTATCACAAAACCGGATATTTTGGAGCCTGTTAACGTTTCCTTGATCTTCTCATGGGTTTCCCCCCAAACTTGAAGTTTTTTTCTGACAAAATTCCAACAGTATTATAAGATGCTCATTTTTGAACAGTCTCTGAGTTTTGTGATATGCCAAATTCGGTGGGGTGGATGCGCATAACTCAGTCGTGTCTAAAGAGACCATGTTTCCGTCCGATGGAATCATCCGACCTGACAGGTCTACAAAGAATTGGGAAGCTGACCAAAATGAGGTAATCGAATCGCCCTGTAGAAACGTTGGTTTTGGGCACATCAATTTAGTCAATTGATGGGTGGGGTTGCGCTTTTGAGCAAGGATTAATACAATTGAAATATTTTGTTTGTGTACCTTTTACAGACCCTAGAACGAGGCTAGGGCAGTGTTCGTTGGTTTCATTTGGCGCCATCCCACTTGATACTGTCTTAGCTTGAGTTTTGTGTACCCCGCCTGTATACCGCCTCATAACTTCTCGATCCACAGCCTGGTTAACGGAAGGCTTCTATCTTAGGCCCCACGGCTCCAGTCCTTATTGGATTAGTTTGTGCGGAAAGTGTAACTGCACGTGCGTTGCTCTTCCTCGTGTTGGGAGTGTCCCAATCACGGTCTGCCTGAAGCACCCTGTTACTATCGAGGGGTCTGTTGCTGTCAGACACCATAGAAGCCTACACTTTATGAAACAAGTAGCCGTGTCTTAATTTGCTCTCTGATATTCATTGACCTTTATTCACAGAGTTTCGTATTTCCTAATCATATTTTCAATTACTCCCAAATTGCGCGCTCAGTAGTTGTGTTCTTCCTTATGCTGCTGAGTCTTTGTTTGTTAACATGCGAAGTTTCTGTAAACCATGATCCTTGAAAATTTTGGCCATAATGGATTCGTTCAGGTTGTTATTATGGATATTTTGAATTGCGAAAGACCGCATTGCAACTCAATTATAATTCCCATGGAACGAGCTCGAAAGAATCGCCCCAATAAGGACTGTCTTTATAAGAGGGTTCAATTTTTCGCAGTCAGCACGTATGCGTATATCCACGTTGTGTAGGTAGTCTTCAGGGTACTCAGATTGAACTGAGTGGTTGTTCGAACTCGCCGGAAATGACGGCTATGCAAAATTTCGAGTAACATTGAAACCAGAGGCGTGGCGAGTGACATCGCAACATACGTAAAGTTTTCACAAGCTGCGCTACATCACTTCGTACGCTAAGACATCAGACATACGATGCCAGCCAATCATCTTCGGAAGCGAAAGTGTTTACGACGTGTTTGTTCTTGATGACTAGTGTTCTTCTATAGATATTAAACCGGGTAATCTTTTCACCAAAAGGCCTAGGCAGTACTTTTCTGTACTTTGGATTTCGGTCGCAACTTCGGTTTCGCTCCTGTCATCCGATTTCAGAATCTTCGTTTGGTATCGAAAGTTGCGCGCAAATCCGAACTTCCTTACTTCCTCTTCAATACCGACAGCATTCGCATTAAAATGCAAACTTACCTCTAGAACGGATCTTGTCCTCTGAGTTTGTACACTAACTATTCCACTGGACTATAAAACAAACGGTTCTGCAGTGACAGTGAATACAATTTAAGTCCTCACACTTGGTCTGCTTGTAAAGTCTTCGTATATGAATAATAAGTACCGCCTTAAGCGGGAGGGATCAATACCGACTTTCAAAATCACCTCCATGCTTCCAATATATGACTGCCTGCTTTACTCTTTATGTAGCTCTTAGATTCGTTTAAGGTACTTCGGAATAACATATGCAGCTTAGTGACATCTCGTACTGCATTAATGTATTCTCATTTTTCAGCTTTTAACCTTTGCATGCTGCCACTTGTCAAATTATGGAGTCTTTGAGCGTTTATTATCTTCAAACTGTTTCGACGGTAACCTGGATAGGCGTCAACATTTGTTCACCATATCATGAAAAACCCCTCACAACTACGTAAAGGCTGAAGCATTTTCATTGAGTGAATCGAAAACATTTTTAAAATTCAGTTCTGGAAAAATAGTAAGCGACGGTGTCTAGTCTTCGTAAAACAGGCTCCTTATTTCATTTAGATAATATTTTCTGTTAAAGTTGGCACAATTGTAATGGGAATCTTAGTCGTAGGGTTAGGATTAGGCGATTTCGGGTACAGTGTTTTAAAGATGAGGTGAGAAATGTATTGTTTGCAAAGTTTGCTGTCCTCCGATTCCTTTAGCCTCACCCATAAAACCCTTATTGCATGTATTCCCATATTCCAGGCGTATTTCTTCCTGGTTTAATGAGTGGGGTTACAAACGCTTTCATTGCAAACAAGGAGGCTAACATTGGATCTAGTAGTAACTTTAAAATTTGTTTTTGCTTTAAAAATTATAGGTAGTTTGTAAGCATTGACGCATGGTTAGCAGCGCCTTCGTGCACACTTAACCAACCACCACGTTTTATAGGCTGACAAGGAATTATGATCCCGAAAACCTCCCCCGGTCAAGAGACCCCGCAAAAAGAAGGCTACACCTACCTCCCGCATTGTTTTCTGCCCCATGTGAGGTGGGAGCAATTTATTGCGGGCCTGGCCGGCGGGGCGATAAGTACGTTGGCTTTGCACCCTTTGGATCTGGCCAAAGTTCGACTTCAAGTCAACGAAGGCACAGGTGCTGTCAATACTCGGTTAGTTTACTCTGCTTGCTATAGTTGACTCTTTTTCATCTTAAACCAGGCATTTTTGTGTAGTCCTTAAAGGGTGTTAAATACATCTATCTGAACTAATTTCTTGCTACATGCCATTGACTCCTTACGGCCTAACTGTTTCGTCTCTTTTCCATCCTTCCTAGCCCGCGTAGTGCTCGTATGATCGGCACCTTAAGCGAAGTATACAAAGCTCGTGGTCTTCTTGGACTATACCAGGGCATCACACCCAACCTTCTGGGAGCAGCATCTGCATGGGGCCTCTACTTTTTCATGTAAGCCACCTGCTTTTCCCCGTCCCAGTTAATTATATCTTGGTCTGCCTGTCTGTTCGGGAATTTATTATTATTCTTCTTCTGCCATTAGTATTTCTTTTAATTTTCCGATGCCAAGGTGAATGTCTTTTTCTATACGTCGAACAGATTCCTATTGCTTCTTTGAAATAGAGGTTTTACTTATTGCCTTACAAGCTGCCACAAAGACGTTTCAATCTACAGAGTTTGTTTTATTCCACTCTCAGAGATGCAGTAAAAATAGCCCCAGTAACCTAAACACTACATATTCTGTAAAACTCAGAAGCTTGTACTTGTACTAACTTACATTTGCTCTATGA